AAACAGTGTCTGTTAGATCCTTTTCTCTATGGGAAAATATGGAAATTAACTTGCTAAAACGTTCCACAGACTTACATCCTCGACCGTAAATGTCAGTTGATCAATGCGTGAAATGTCTGAAGTGGAATCAGAACGTTTGAATAATACCTTGTCTCTGTTATTTCTTCCAGAATAGGACAGAGGACATGTTGCCCCATTAGATCAATAAATTATTCTCAAATATTTACCGACAAATATGATGTGTTACCCTTTCCAGCATTTCCATTATAGTTTGAGATACTCCTCCAAAAAAAAGGATTACATTCACTCAACAGCTCTAAAATACCTTCACAATTTCTATTGCTTACTGACCCAATAGTTGTATTTATTTATTTATTTATTGAGGCATTTTTATATAGCGCTTACCATAAAGCTCTAAGCGCTTTACAATTATTAAAAACGTGTAAACTAAGTAAATAAAAATGAGACATTAGGGTAGTAACTTTTATCCAAACCTCTGGAGTCAAGAAAGTGAACGACACAAACCCCACGAGTCAGAACTCAATGCCAGTGCTTCTGTGTTGACCTATGGTCTTTGATTAATAAAGGACCTAAACACCTAGCTTCTTTTAGTAGAAGCAAATATGCGGTCTTATCCTTGCAATGCACTACTTCATTTTCATGTTCTACAATAATATTGTTATATTTCCAATAATTGAATCCTGATATAGCAAAGAGAAATGCTTTTTTTTTTTTACAACAGACGACATGCAAAACATTACAAACAACCTTGGTATGGTGAAGAGAGAAGCCATTCAAGTTTTACACACTCGTCATTAGTAAACATACTCTTGATTATCAATATTCAAATACTTAAGGTTACTAAACTCGTAATATTCATAACTCTGGGACCGGGGGCCCCATTTTATTCAAGTTTAAATATATTTCTTGATAAATACCTTGTCTTAGTTCTTTCTTTTCCAGTTCTGCCTGAGTTTTAAATCTTGCGGTTATGATTCTGACACAATGATGGCCCACCGCGAATTCAGTACTCAACTGTACAAGTGTTCTTAATATTCCAAAGCCCGGGATCTGTGTGGTGAATCACAGACTCTCGTTTTCTGACACAGCTTTGTGTGTTTCAATTTTTACAACTTCCCCAACAGATGAAATAGATAATGGTATTGTCTGGAGCTAGATGGGTGAATGCAATAGAGGATGTAGATCACGCTACTTTATTTTGAGGAGCAGTATTAGTCACTGATATTTCGATTGGATTTAACCAAGATGTTAATTTTGCAAGTTTACCCGTTTCCTTGTCTCCTCAGCTCTTTTAATCTTCTGTGATCCAATTATAACACTTTTTTTTTATTCCCGCTTAAGGGGCTAAACACCTAGAAATGTATTCATTGTTTATAAGTATTTCTATAGTAATAGCAGCAATCCGTTTAAAATGGATTTTTCTGTCCCATCAAACAGACTTATGCACCGCTTAAACTGAAAATCAGGAAATGATCAATAGCCATTGTGTAATTAATAAAATCAATCTTTGTTTTTGAGCTACCCGATATGTAAGATGAAAATGAATTTGAGCGTAAACGTGTGAGCACAATTATGTCTAAATGCCTATATATTTCTGCCTACAGCTCAGACATACGGTGACAGTTGGGTTCTATTTATCATCTAAATATGTTTTAAGACACAGAATACAGGATATTCACCGGACCCCTGGCAGGGGAGCGCGGCCGGTCTCCAGGCACGGGGCAGGTGAGCCCATTCGCCGGGCCCCTGGCAGGGGAGCGCGGCCGGTCATCGGGGGAGCGCGGCCGGTCGCCGGGCTCGGGGCAGGTTGGCCCCTGGCAGGGGAGCGCAGCCGGTCACCATGCACGGGGCAGGTGGGCTCCCTCACCAGGCCCTTGGCAGGGGAGCGCAGCCGGTCACCATGCACGGGGCAGGTGGGCTCCCTCACCAGGCCCTTGGCAGGGGAGCGGGGCCGGTCAACAGGCACGGGGCAGGTGAGCCCCCTCACCAGAACCTCAGTTTTTTTTAAAATATATTTTCTTTTAATTGAGAAATGCACAGTTTGAAAAAGACAAATAGTTTATACGAATCAATAAAACACTTGAAGTTTTATGACTTCACACGTTTTCCCTATTTTAAGTTTTTATAAATTTATATTAACTAACAAAATCAGAAAATTATTACTCAAATATGCGTCAAGTATAGCTGATAAAGTGTCACTAAAACGAAAGCGATAGTTACCCTTGAAAAGACATTAAGTTGAAGAATGGGCTATAAAAAAAAATGAATTAAAAAAAAAAAACGTATAACTATTGAATGATAATAGACGGTTATAACAGAAACATTAATTATTAACAATGAATATACTAAATTTAAAACACGAATTTTATTTTGCAATTCAAAACTTTTATTTGTCTTAAAACATATTGTTCCATTATCTAAAATTTAAATAGGAATATATAAATTTACATAAACAAAAGTTACTTTTGAATGGAACTTTTTATGTATTTAAATAAAAAAACATATTTTTTAGTTTCGGAATTCAAAAACTGGTTGTTTGTTATCTAATTTCGTATTATTTACCACAAGAATTTTTTTAAAAAGAGAACAAATTTCAAAATTAACTTATTTCCCAGAAAATAACAAATATTTTCATTGTTTTGAGTGTCTTTTAGACAAGACATGTTTTTAATACTTCAAGCTTCTAGTTCTCTGGCACTGTTTCAAAATGGTTCTCAATGAAGAAAGTTTCCATTGATGTCATTAAAATGTCTTTTCATCCTACACGGTAATGATGGAGCTCGATCCTTTTGCGCGGGTCAGGTGAGTCCCCTCTCACGACCCTTGACCGGGGAGCGCGATCCCCATGGCACGGGTCAAGCGAGCCTGCCCGGACCCGACCCCAAGGGGGTTGCGAACCGCACCGGGTGACCTCAACATTGTTTCTCCACAAGAAGCGCTGTAACTTGGTGGAACATACTATTGAAAAGGCACTTTTATCGTTAGACAAATATGAAATTTCTGTAGAAAGAACATTATTGTTTCACAAGAGATTGGCAGGAGAACAGGTAATAGATGCTGGACTCTCTCTCTGCATGAAGAAGACAATATGGAGATGCTAGATTGTACGATAGCTTTTATTACGAACACCAGATCAGATCATCTACGATCAAGAAAGTATCAGATATGTACATGGAATCTAAGCCTTTCAACTCGCCGAGTTAAAATGATCTCAGAGGCACTTATTTTCTTAACCTGTCTGCTCGTTTGTTCTTTATTGGTGAAAAAGATGAAGAAGTGCAAATTTCTTTGCCATTTCAGACGGTTGCAGTAGCCTATAGCACCTAGACATTATAGCAAAGTGCCTAACATTATTATTTCCATAACGCTCTGTGATAGCATCTCGTTTAATAGCATTCAATACAACACCTTTACGTAATTGAGTTACAATAATACCAACTATGGCATTCTTAGTTTACGTTATCATTATATCCCAAATAATAGGGATCGAATTAAGTGGACTGCAGCTATAAATTTAATATGTGTATGGGGGAGCGAACGATGAGAATGTGGAGGGGGGGGAGCGCTGACCCTCGGGGTTAGTCCCTCAAATATTGAAACTAAAATGTAACAATTAAAAGGCAGTAAGTCCCAGGTAACAGGTCAGTCTAATCTAGGAAAATATCTTAACATTTCTTATTTTATTTATGGAAATTATTTTACATCAATAGGAAAAACAGCTAACAAATAAGATCCAAATGGAAAAAGACTTTTTAAATTCAAATTCTGACCACTGTCTCTAATACAGCTGCTCTAGTTTTTTAACGTAACTTTTTTGGACACTTCCTGACATAAAGCATCACCGTAATGCCTGATGTCATTTGACGTGAATTGTCTTGTGTCATCTTAAATTTAGACATGTTTAAGCTGCAGAAGATATAACAAAAAACATAAGCACTGCATGTCAGGTCGTAATTGTATTATATGTGTATGATGTGTCGAACTCGTTGTAGCAATGGATGATCAAAAAATGACGATGAGTCTGTTTTACAGATGGAATGTCAGACAGCTACTGCATCCAATGGAGTTCCAGAAATTCAAAACCCTGAGTATCACCTGGCGGCCCATGTATCATATCAATATGAACACTCGTCTACACCCAACTTAAAATAACGTTTTTTCAATATCATGACATCCCAGGTTGCCAGATAAACCCCATCCCGATCTTGAATCAAATCGGCAACCATAACACAGCCTACGAAGAACCCGATCAGTACGGGGTGAAAAGACTACAATAATGAAGGACTTTATTTATAATTAATTGAATAAATTTTGTTAATTGAGTTATTTTGATTTGCGTGTGTTTATAATTATAAAAGTTGTCATATGCCATCTCATTCCAGGCAGAAAAAAAAAGGGGGGGGGGAGAGGTGTGGGATGGAATGTTATAGTGTCAATGTGTTTTATTGTATTATCACAGTTGCTTCCCTTTGTTATAATTACAGGTAACCCGCGTTTAGTGTCCTTAGATCTCAGAAGCCATGTTGTTTAGTTGTGACTTGCCGTTTAAAAAAATAGTCTAGACACGAAGCTGTGCAGATGTGTGAACTTTCCTTCGTGTTACAAAAAGTAGTACTAACTCTAACATAGTTCAACAGTAATACATCAGTTTTATTATTAAATAAATCAGTTCGTCGTCAGTAAAACAAAGCTAGAAATCCTCAACACCGCAGCACTTATTCTTTATTCAAATACTCTTTATAACCATGACAACAAGCAGTAAAGGCTGACGTCCACCATGCACCTGGACTACACCGAAAACAGCAAAATAAGAATTCAAATTAAAGCTGAATAATACTTTTATTATTAGACTTTGATAAACATCATTCATGTATCTCATTGACAATGTTAAGAAAAGGCATCACATATTTCATAGGCTCATTTTTTTCTTTACACTAAATACCTCAGTAAGTTTCTAAATGGCTCAAATAAGTGAACCCCCCCCCCCACTTTCCGTGTCATAGGCCCTTTAAATTATAATTCTGTGTCACGAGATAATCCAGGGGTCATTTGATATTTAAGACACCCACGACAGCCATTATGTTGTGGATGGGGAGCAAAAGCCTTCGCGTCTTTCCTCAGTAGATCGAGTCTAAATAAATTAAATGTGGTGCACGAACCAGTTTGTACATTCTTTTGTAAATACTGGCGTTTAGTTGGTACGCGACACATGCCATTGACAAGGCATTGCATTGCGACAGTTGTCTGTGTTGACAGTTGACTGTGTGACAGCTGTCTGTTGCTAAAACGGGCCATGAATATTTTGTTACAGTTGTCTAATGTTACAATTGTCTGGTTTCTAACACGCATTGCATTATTGTGACAGTTATCTGTGGGACAGTTGTCGGTGGGATAGTTGTCTGTGGGACAGTTGTCTGCGGGACAATTGTCTGCGTGACAGTAGCCTGTCTGACAGCTGTCTACTGCTTGCAAGGGCTCGGCTCATGAATGCTAAACAGGACGTTGGTCTCAATGAGAATGCAGATGGTCATGATGACGAGATAGACCGAAATTGTGACGAATCCGTAAACAGGCGTCAACGTCCAGTTGAAGCATTTCATGGACCCCCAGAGGTACGCTATGGTTATGAACAGTGTGAGAACCGCGAACACCATTCCCTCACTGTCGATGACTGTACCGTTCTTGCTTATACTGAGATTGTCTATCAGCCAAGGTATTCCTGTCAAAAAAAGACATCTTTAAAAACCAAACATCAATGCAGATTTTGTTGTGACAGCTTGTAATTTAATGTTTGGCTGTCGTTTTGAAATGTGTCGTTTGAGAGAGTATTAATATAAAAAACAATGTTTAAACAGGAAAAATAATCTTACAGGATTTGAAATAAGAGAATTTTCAAAAACTAGTGCCAAATAAACAAATCTTATTTAATCCAAATCATAGAATCATAAAAATGAAATAAATGTTTTCCCTATAACAATAAAAAAATAAATAAATAAACTCCATGATGGAGCACATGCTGCTTAATTGTTTTTGTTTAAATTAGATATATCTATGTGAATTAAAGAAACAAGTCTGATTTTGAATATTTTATATTTTGAAAGAAATCTGAAATGTCCCTTAACCCCCCAAAAAATTATTTTTTTTAAATATGGGGATCTTAAAGATATCGCTAACTTACTAAAAATACTTTCAAATTAAAAACAAAATCCAAGCAACATAATCTAGATAAATTGTTTCAGTTAATCTTTTTAATTAACCTCCATTTTTAAGAAAATGTTCTTTTTAAATGATCACTTACCGAGGCATAAGAGAATATCAAAGACATTACTCCCTATTGCATTTGATACCGCCATGTCACCGTAACCTTTAGGACACGCAGAGAAACATGAATAAGTTTTTGACATCAAAACAGGCTAACATTCTAATGTCGTTATATTTTAACGCACGCCCCCGATCACACATATCTGAATCAGTTTTCAACTATGCCAACCAAATAATTATATTCACTTACTTAAAAATCTATGGCTATCTTTAACATCTATGGCTATCTTAAACATCTATGGCTACTCTCATTCTTGGGACCAATTTTTTGCATGAATATGTACCATCTCGAACTGCACTCGCATTTTGATGATTATTCAAAGTACTTAGTGTCTTCCATACCAATCGCTGGCTACAATCGTCTCTGGGCAACCATTATTAATTTTTGTGTCCTATCAGCTACATTCACTTGTAAGATAGCCATGCTTGGCTAGTATCATCTCTAGCAACACTCACATTTAATTAACCAGCATGCGTAGCCTCCTACCATCTCCGTCAACAATCATACTTATATGACCACAATGCTTTGCTACCTATCATTTTTGGCTGCACTTACATGTGTATAACAACCATGGTGACCACCTCCGCCGTCCCTAGCTACACTCACATCTTTATGACCAGCAATCATGGGTACCTACCGTCCCTGCTACATTCACAGCTAGATGACCAGCAATCATGGGTACCTACCATCCCTGGCTACATTCACAGCTAGATGACCAGCGTGTATTGCTACCTACCATATTTAACTACATCCCCATCTATATGAGGTACGTGTGTGGCTAACTAACAGCTCTGGCTGCATCACATCTATACGAGCTACCTACTAACTCCGGATACACTCACATCTAAATGACCAGCTCATGTGGCTACCTACCATCTCGGGCTACAAAAACACTCGATAGAAGATCTGGCACACTTGTTCCTGCAGCAAGAACTGTTAAACCTGTTATCGTATCTGGAATTCCCCAAACATTTCCTGTAAAATAAAGCAAAGAAATGTGTACACCCTTCAAACAACGAAATATGTACAGACTTCAAACAACAAAATATGTACAGATTTAAAAAAAATGAATTGTGTACAGACGTTAAAAAAATTGTATAGACTCAAAACAATAACATGTGTACAGCCTAAAAACAGAAACATGTGTACAGGCTCAAAACAGCAAAATGTGTCCAGACGCGTGGGATTCCAATACAGCTCGACAGTGTTAGAAGTGATAAGTCTCGCTACATCACGATATGGTACTTTTAACATGCTGTTTACAGTTACCGACTTAACCCGAAGAGTGCTCACACGTATTTAAAGGTGGCCTGTCATAATGTCGTCCCGTGTTTACTGGGAGATGGATGGTTTGGGGGAATTTTTAGGTGAGTAAAGGTTTGTCGTGTCCACGTGTTTGTGGGGAGCTAATGTTTGTGGCGCGCAAGTGTTTGTTAGGAGCAAGTGTTTTGGTGAGCGAGTGTTTGTTGGGAGCAAGTTTTTGTGCGAGAAAGTGTTTGTGAGGAGAAAGTGTTTGTGGCGAGCAGGTGTTTGTGGCGAGCAAGTGTTTGAGGGGAGCAAGTGTTTGTGACGAGCAAGTGTTTGTTGGGAACAAGTGTTTGTGGGGAGCAAGTGTTTGTGGGGAGCAAGTGTTTGTTGGGAGCAAGCGTTTGTGGCGAGCAAGTGTTTGTGGCGAGCAAGTGTTTGTTGGGAGCAAGTGTTTGTTGGGAGCAAGTGTTTTGGTGAGCAAGTGTTTTTTGGGAGCAAGTGTTTTGGTGAGCAAGTGTTTGTTGGGAGCAAGTGTTTTGGTGAGCAAGTGTTTGTTGGGAGCAAGTGTTTTCGTGAGCAAGTGTTTGTGGGGAGCAAGTGTTTGTGGGGAGCAAGTGTTTGTGTGGAGCAAGTGTTTGTTGTGAGCAATTGTTTGTTGGGAGCAAGTGTTTGTTTGGAGCAAGTGTTTGTGGGGAGCAAGTGTTTGTGAGACCAAGTGTTTGTGGGGACCAAGTTTTTGTAGGGACCAAGTGTTTGTTGGGAGCAAGTGTTTGTGGGGACCAAGTTTTTGTGGGGAGCAAGTGTTTGTGGGGAGCAAGGGTTTATGGGACCAAGTGTTTGTGGGAACCAAGTGTTTATTGGGAGCAATGTTTTATGGGGAGCAAGTGTTTGCGGTGACCAAGTGTTTGTGGGGAGCAAGCGTTTGTGAGGACCAAGTGTTTGTGGGGAGCAAGTGTTTGTAGGGAGCAAGTGTTTGTGGGGAGCAAGTGTTTGTATATAAATATATGTGAATATTGTAGACTGAAAGTCTATTAGTTAAATCTATAAATATAATTTAGCCAAAGATCGAGTAAATCAATCTGATATCCGGTAATTGTTATAAATGACGCATCGAGTGTATTTGGTGACACATAACAATGTTAAATGTTCTTGTTTATTTTTTTAAAATCTAGGCCACCGTGCATAGGTGGTGCAAACAGGCTGGTTTTATGTGGCACTGGTTTCTTCGGACAATCACTAGTGAAGAACTGTTCCTGCCATAAAATCATACGTGAACGTGGAATGTTCTGTACTACGTCAGCACCATGGCATCAGGTCCGATATATTTTATATTGTTACCAAAGTCAGAGACTCTAGCAATCTGTTCCTAACTGACAGGAATTCTATTTAAAAAAAAAAAAACTACATAGAGGGTCAGCTTTTGAGGGGCGGGGGTAGGGGTGGGGATGAGATCAGTGTTTCCGACTCAAAAATTGAATTTATTGTAATATTTATGTTACAAAATTATAAAACTGAAGATTTTTTTTTTCTTCAAAATCTCCATATTTTTAAGTAATCCTACGAGGCCAAAAAACATGAGATGTCCGCAAGACTATCTTCTCTTAACGATGTCTGTATCACAGTCATGTCGTAAGGCCATGGGGGTTAGCCACACTCTGTCATAAGACAATGAGGCATGAAATACACTCTGTCATGAGAAAAAAAGAAATGAGCCCCACTCTCTCATGAGACCGTGAGGCATGAGCCCCAATCTGTCATGAGACCGTGAGCCAGACTCAGCCATAAGATCATAAGCATGAGCCTAGAATATAATGCTTTCTATTGTTTTCTTAGGTATTTTTATCAGTGTAGAGATTATCCTGATATTCATCATGCAAATTTAAAGAAATTAAGAAGTCATAAAAAACAATGAGTAGACCGTGGTGTTTTTTGGGGTAAAAAAAACGTGTAAAATGTTCGAAATTTAACGGCATCTAAATTAGCACTATAATATTGACGTTTGCTATATATGTACAAAAAATAACCAGCATCATGACTAACCTGCCATTGTTATCATCCAGACCATAATATAGCTGTAGACACCAATGTAGACGACGGACAATGTGAATGATACCAGATACAATTTGGCCTGCCAAGTGCCCTAATAACAAATGAGAAATTTGTGAAAAATAACCAATATTATTTAGGGCGAGATAATGCAGCGTCAGGGACAAGGTTGCTTGAAGTTCTAGCAAGTGGAAAATATGAGTTTTTCGTCCAGTTATAATTGATCAAAATGTACTTCTTTGAGAAAACTTGAACGAGCAAGACGAAAGAGGACCTAAATGAAGAATCTCCTAGTTTGTAAAAAAGCATTTATTCCATTTGAATAGCTGTTTTGTCTCTAAGCTTCAAGCCTTAACAGTTCCTGGTCGGGTGATGTCTTCGTCATTTCTATTCTTCACATTCAGCAATTAATAACTTAATATTATCATCCGCAGAACACTTTGGTGTTTTTCATGGATATTTTGTTTTATAAAGAGAACATAATTTTCAACATAATTTTACAAATACATTTGAATTTGCAAATTTCCGCATACTGGTAGCTTCCATCTTGTAACCATATTGTGCTCATCATGTAACACAACAGCGCCCATCTTGTAACAATGCAGCGCCAATAATGTAACACTATATCGCCATTCATGTAACACTACAGCGCCTATCATGTAACCATGCAGCACCCATTATGTGACACTAAAGCGCCAATCGTGCAAATCCACAGCGTCAATCATGCAACACTACAGCGCACATCATGTAACACTACAGCCCCCATCATGTAACACTACAGCGCCCATCATGTAACACTACAGCGCCCATCATGTAACACTACAGCCCCCATCATGTAACACTACAGCGCCCATCATGTAACACTACAGCGCCCATCATGTAACACTACAGCGCCCATCATGTAACACTATAGCGCCCATCATGTAACACTACAGCGCCCATCATGTAACACTACAGCGCCCATCATGTAACACTACAGCGCCCATCATGTAACACTACAGCCCCCATCATGTAACACTACAGCGCCCATCATGTAACACTACAGCGCCCATCATGTAACACTACAGCGCCCATCATGTAACACTACAGCGCCCATCATGTAACACTACAGCGCCCATCATGTAACACTACAGCGCCCATCATGTAACACTACAGCGCCCATCATGTAACACTAAATAAACTATCACTGATAACAACCGACCATGACCAGAGGTGCATGTTACTTCGTGTGAACTCACCAAGAGTCGACTGTCTGGTATGGTGAAGGCGTGCAGAACGGTGGCCGGCAGGATGAATATGTAGTAGCACCGAGATAGAAATCCTTTGGGGAACTCCAAAGGGTTTGTGTATTCACTGACTCCAACTGTTGCAGGGAGACACAAATATTTAAGCGGTAATACATTTCATCTTAACGTCTCTTCATTTACCTCGATCAACAATAGCGATCTCTTAAGAATGTTTAACCAGTTCCTAATCTTTGTCACTTTTTTTCATTGGTCCTGTGTGCTGAGGAACGTTCTTATCTTTATTTCCTGCCTTTTGATTTAAGCTACAGCGAACCTTGATCTAATATTTTATCTACCTCGGCTAGTTTTCCAAAAGTTAAATTTAAAATATACATTTTGAAAAAAAAACATCCCTCCCTCCCTGAGACGCTACAGCCCATGTAGTGCCTTGGCCTGACTCACAACTTCCTTCCGCTCAGACCATCCATCCAGCCCTGTGGCGCTACAGCCCATGTAGTGCCTTGGCCTGACTCACAACTTCCTTCCGCTCAGACCATCCATCCAGCCCTGTGGCGCTACAGCCCATGTAGTGTCTTGGCCAGACTAACTACTTACTTCCGCTCAGACCATCCATCCTGCCCTGTGGCGCTACAGCCCATGCAGTGCCTTCTGCAGACTCACTACTTCCCTCCGCTCAGACCTAACTAATGCTTTTCTTTTCCATGCTTTTCAGTCTTTATAGATCTTTTCCACACATGAAAATACGGTTGTATTAATATTCCCTTTTTGTAAAAATGGATGAAAATTTTTCCAGCCCCCTCATAATGTAACTAAAACATATAATACTACACACAACAATGTCGCATCCTGACACAGATGCATCCAGTCATCCAGGTACCTAAATCAAGTAGGTATCCAATCTTCAAAGCGTCCATTCACCAAGGTATCAGTCACCGTTGCATCCAGTCCCCGTTGTATGCAGTCACCGTTGTATCCAGTCAATGTCGCATCCTGTCACAGATGCATCCAGTCATCCAGGTACCTAAATCAAGTAGGTATCCAATCTTCAAAGCGTACATTCACCAAGGTATCAGTCACCGTAACATCCAGTCCCCGTTGTATGCAGTCCCGTTGTGTCCAGTCAATGTCGCATACTGTCACAGATGCATCCAGTCACCCAGGTACCCATTCACGTGGGTATACAATCTTCAAGGCATCCATTCACCAAGGTATCAGTCACCGTTGCATCCAGTCCCCGTTGCATGCAGTCACCATTGTATCCAGTTAATGTCGCATCCTGTCACAGATGCATCCAGTCACCCGGGTAACCAAATCAAGTACGTATCCAATCTTCAAGGCATCCATTCACTATGGTATCAGTCACCGTAACATCCAGTCCCCGTTGTATGCAGTCACCATTGTATCCAGTCAATGTCGCATCCTGTCAAAGATGCATCCTGTCACACAGGTACCCAATCACATAGACATCCAATCTTCAAGGTGTTCATTCCCCTAGGTATCCAATCTTTGAGTTATCTGCTACTAACTTTTACCGTCATTGAGGTTCAGAAAACCCTTAGATCCAATAACCGAGTAACCAAATCCTGTATTAGAATATTTTTTTAATCAAGGAACCAACGGATCTCGTCATGATTTCGCCAGTCACCGAGGTTTCATCGAATAAAAAAACAGGGCGGGGGGGTTCGGGGAACAACTTAAAAGTAACACACACTTCAGATATTTCACATTTTCATAACGTACTTTTGTCATCTTTATCTTCTTCCTCTACGACGGGAGAAGCAATCTGCACCTCGGCCGACACCGCCGGGACTGGGTCTGTGCTGGTCCCGGTCTCGACGTTCACTGGCGATGCCACTGGAAATTCCACCGACTCCACCTTGTTGTACAGGCTGGAGATGTTCCTCACGAGCGTTTCCGAAATGGTTACCCTGGACGCCTTCGTTAAGATCTCTTTCGGGTCCCCTATGTTTGCCATGGTCAGCCTCTCGATCTCCCGCATGCCTGACCTAGTCAGCATGTCCTGAGTGCAGATGCGACTGTGGCGCCTGGCGTCCATCATGGCCAGTCGGTTGCTAAGTGTTGTGAAGGGGGGGGGGCGGGCCGGAGGGGCAAACAGAAACGAATGATGAAGTTATCTTTCCGTTTAAGGATGCGTGATTTTTAGTTGCGTCATATCACCGTGACTTCCTTTACTAAAAAAAATGACATCTTAATGTGTAGTTAAGTAAATTGGATACGTATGTAAGGACACAGTAAGGAGGTAGTTACTTCACTAGGATATTGACACGCCTTTAACTTTAACATATTAACAATCCATTTCATTTTTTTTTTAAATATTCAAAGATTAAGGATAAAAATAAATTAATTTCATTGATAAAATGCCGTAAAACTAACACATTAATTAAATTTCATTGACAAACTATCCAACAAAGTAACATAATATTTAATATATGTCAGGAAGAAGCATCAGACATTAACATATAACATATAGATTGTTGCTGCTCACTTGGCAGATTCCTCTTCTTCCATTATATCGACGAGTGTCTGTCTCCGACAAGATTTCATTTTCAGGATGCTCCAGCGCTCAAGTCGTTTGTTAAAAAACATGACCAGGATATACAGCAAATACGTAACTACCATCAATGTGGCCTCGTACCTGGACAGAGAAGAGAAGTCACAAGTTCATGAGGTTCAAGCTCTTAACAACAGACACACGTTAAACAGAATCTGGACCCAGAAGGTGAGTCAGATGTTCATGAGGGTAACGTCCCATCAAACAGACACACGTTAAACAGAATCTGGACCCAGAAGGTGAGTCAGATGTTCATGAGGGTAAAGTCCCATCAAACAGACACTGGACAGAGAAGACAAAGCTAGAAGTTCATGAGGGGGAAGACTTGTCCAGCTGACACATAGTTAAACGAACAAGGGTAACAGAGTCCATGACTGTTTCTAGCGGTGGAACTCAAAGCATTGGTCTTGGGCCAGGAAAGTGATTTTTGTAACTAATTTTACTAAGACAACGCGTAAATAAGGTACAAATGCAAGTATGCTTAGATCGTTGGGCTGTGATTTCAATCGCCAGCCAGTCTGTTGTGTACAGGTTTATTGGAGTTTGGTAATGCTGTCTTAAAACTACCAGGGCCAATATCGTTTTGTTTTTATGTGTTAACAAATATCGTAAAAACTTTTCAAATAACAAATACGACATTATGAACCATGTTCGTCACTAATTCTGTCACAACAACGACATAATGAAAACATGATCTCTAATTCTGTCACAACAACGACATAATGAAAACATGATCTCTAATTCTGTTACAGCAACGACACAATCAAATTTAATCTCTAATTCTGTCACAACAACGACATAATGAAAACATGATCTCTAATTCTGTCACAGCAACGACATAACCAAAACATGATCTCTTATTCTGTCACAACAACGATATAATGAAAATATGATCTCTAATTATGTCACAAAAACGACATACAGAAAAATTTGAGCTTCTCTTATTATGTCACAACAACGACATAATTGAAACATGCTCGTCACTAATTCTGTCACAACAACGACATAATGAAAACATGCTCGTCACTCATTGTGTCCGCCCGATAAATCCTAGCATGGGAGTTTCTGTTACGGAACTCACTCAAGCGGACGTACCATATAATAAGGTTGTCGTACATGAACACTGCCATAAGGATGACAGACAGGGTGTAGAAGATGGTGTCTCGTGTCAGTGGGTACCACGTCAACTGTACAGGCTGGAATGGAACGGGACATCACGATTGAGATACAGGTGGCTAACAGTACATGTGACAGAGAACAGGTGGCAAACAGTATATATGACAGAGATACAGCTGGCTAACGGTAGATATGACAGAGATACAGGTGGCTAACAGTATAGGTATATGACAGAGAGACAGGTGGCTAACAGAATATTTGACAGAGACATGCAGAACATAAAACAGGGCTGTTGACACAATGTGGAAACAATGGAATTGACACAATGTGGAAACAATGGATTTGACACAATGTGGAAACAATGGATTTGACACATAGTGGAACCAGTGGATTTGACACAATGTGGAAACATTTGATTTGACACATAGTGGAACCAGTGGAATTTACACAATGTGGAAACATTTGATTTGACACATAGTGGAACCAGTGGATTTGACACAATGTGGAAAAAATGGAATTGACACAATGTGGAAACAATGGATTTGACACAATGTGGAAACAATGGATTTGACACAATGTGGAAACAGTGTTACTGACTAAATTTTGAAACAGTTGGTTTTCCACAAAGTGGAAACATTGCCACTGACACAATGTGGAAACAATGGACTTGACACAAGCTGAGGGTATGAAGCAAGGTATGCACACGTTAAGATACACAAAAGTAAGTTTATACGAAGATCGGAAACCAGGATTAGAATGAAATTAAGCATTGAACACAAGTCAACAAGACTAGCAGCTTGGTTTAAATAGATGGAAACAAACATATATATATATATATATATATATATATATATATATATATATATATATAACTATAATAATTTAAAAGGAAGTCTCAAAAGGAAACGGGAGAACATTCTAAGTGTATATATATCAATAATATCTTTTAGGCGGAAAACATATATTTTTAAAAAAATATCTTTCTCATAGAAACATTTGATACTCACCATTCCCGCGAAGATGGCACAAGCACCAACAATGACCAGCAGGTTGAAGATGGATGATCCAACAATGGCTCCTAGGCCAGCGTCACTCTTTGCGACGAGAGTAGCTGTGTTGTTATTTAAAGTTAAAGTGGGTGTGACAGAGGCTTGTGTGTGATATCATGTAGCAATGAACAACATAGACTTGTATGTGATATCATGTAGCAATGAACAACATAGACTTGTATGTCATATCATGTAGCAATGAGCGACATAGACTTGTATGTCATATCATGTAGCAATGAACAACATAGACTTGTATGTGATATCATGTAGCAATGAACAACATAGACTTGTATGTCATATCATGTAGCAATGAGCGACATAGACTTATGTGTGATATCATGTAGCAATGAGCGACATAGACTTATCTGTGATATCATGTAGCAATGAGCGACACAGACTTATATGTGATATCATGTAGCAGTGAACGACATAGACTTATCTGTGATATCATGTAGCAATGAATGACATTGACTTATCTGTGATATCATGTAGCAATGAGCGACATAGACTTATATGTGATATCATTTAGCAATAAGCGACATAGACTTACATGTGATATCACGTAGCAATGAGCGACATACTTTAAAAATAGGTCACCACATAAACTTATTTTTATAAGCAAACGTTTATGTTAATAAATACACCAATTGATTTTTATGATAGCCTCGGCCTGAGAAGGCAGCTTGGTTTACCCGGGTCTAAGACCCCATGATCATCACTGGTAAATTTACATGACGCAACATAGTACTTGATAACATTAGGTAGGAGATTATATATGATAGGGCTTATACACGATATAAAGGTGTTATGTTACTTTGACAAAGAGGCTTTATACACGATATCAAATGTGTTAGGTAACTTTGACAAAGAGGCTTAATACACGATATCAAAGGCGTTAGATAACTTTGATAAAGAGGCTTTATACACGATGTCAAAAGCGTGATGTGACATTGACAGATAGGCTTTATACACAGTATATCAAGGTTGCTATCTTACTTTGACAAAGTGTCTTCATAAACAATATCAAAGTTATTTTGTTACTGTGACAAAGAGGCATTACACACAACATCAAAGGTGTTATGTTACTTTGACATAGAAAATTATATTTTATAAGGCGTTATATACGATGTCAAAGGCGTGGTGTTACAGTGAAAATGAAATTACTTATAACGGATGTGCAAAACTCCGGGGCTGAGCTGGCTGCAGCCATAAAGGTCGCTCCGGCAACGTCGGCTTGAAGGTCAAGGTCTACAGATGAAAAGATAAGATGAAAAGATAAGCTGTAAATAAAGATGAAATAGGCAAGGAGAAATAATCAGAATATCATCAGACATCTTGATAAAAAACAGTCATCAAGAAGAAAAAAGCTAAAATAAGCACCTCATGTAGATCCTTTTGGTACATGCCGCTAAATGTTACAGAACACACAACCAAATGTTACTGTTAACAAGTCAAATGTTACAGAACACACAGCCAAATGTTACTGTTGACAAAGTCAAATGTTACAGAACATACAGCCAAATGTTACTGTTCACACAGCCAAAAGTTATGGTACACAAAGCTAAAATTAATAGTGCACACAGCGAAATGTTACAATGCATTCACCAAAATGTTACAGTGCACACAGCACAATGTTACCGTGAATTCAGACAAATTTTACAGTGCACACAGTCAACTGTTACAGTACACCAAGTCAAATGTTACAGTAAACAAAGCCAACTGTTACAGTGCACACAGTCAAATGTGGCAGTACACACAGCCAACTGTTACAGTGCACCCAGTAAAATGTTAGAGTAAACAAATCCAACTGTTACAGTGCACACAGACAAACGTTACAGTGCACACAGCCTAATGTTACAGTACACGCAGCCAACTATTACAGTGCACATAGACATTGTTACAGTGCACACAGCCTAATGTTACAGTACAAGCAGCCAACTATTACAGTGCACATAGATAATGTTACAGTGCACACAGCCTAATGTTACAGTACAAGCAGCCAAATATTACAGTGCACACAGACAAACGTTACAGTAAACACAGTCAAATGTTACAATACACTCAGACAAATGTTAGATTACCTTCTGAGATATGTTCAAGTGACGGCACGAAGTAGATGTCACAGACGCTGGCGACGGCAGCAAACATGTACGATCCTATGAACAGATGGAGCAACCAACCTCCTTTTTTGGCCACTTCTTCGCTGAGAAAATCTGGAGGCATCACGCCGCGGTTATGCTCGGGGCATATTGTCACATTACTTGCTAAACTGGCTGGAACAAAAACAACTTTATATCACATTACTTGCTAAACTGGCTGGAACAAAAACAACTTTATATCACATTACTTGCTAAACTGGCTGGAACAAAAACAACTTTATGTCACATTACTTGCTAAACTGGCTGGAACAAAAACAACTTTATGTCACATTACTTGCTCAACTGGCTGGAACAAAAACAACTTTATGTCACATTACTTGCTCAACTGGCTGGAACAAAAACAACTTTGTGTTACATTAGTTGCTGAACTGGCTGGAACAGAACAAACTTTATGTCAAATTACTTGCTAAACAGGCTGGAACAGAACAAACTTTATGTCACATTACTTGCTAAACTGGCTGGAACAGAACAAACTTTATGTCAAATTACTTGCTAAACAGGCTGGAAAAGAACAAACTTTATGTCACATTACTTGCTAAACAGTCTGGAAAAAAAGAAACACTCGGGCAAGATAAAACAACTTCACTGTAATATTAATAGACATTTTTAAAAAAAATATGTTAAAGTCAAAATGGCGTAGATTTTGAAATAATGTCCCCCACACCCTCCCTTTTTGAAATACATCCTCACTCACCCCCTTTTTGAAACGCACCCCTACCATCCCTACACCCTCCAGCATTTTGAAATACACCCACATCCTCTCCCTTGTGTAAATACTTTCCCCACCCACCCACCAACCTTCTATTCCCCTTGCAATGTTTAGTTCTAACAAGTACTGCAAGGAATGTTTACTTTTAACATTTGACATGGTTCGTGATGTGTTCATGGAATTTTTATTCTTTTTCCAAAATATATTACCGTAGCAGATATTGTGTTGACTGAACTTTATTTCGAGTATAATTGTTTCGCGCCATTGCAAAATTACCAGTTCGGCTGAAAGTCGCCTTCACACGAAGTGATGTCTACACCCGTGTGATCAGATGTAGAACACAATACAAGATACATCTAAATGGAAAGATAAGCTATGTTTTTCCCTCCATTATAGGTCATCTTGCCTAGCAAAAGATTGTAGCCGAAAAGCTCAGCCAACCTTCTCCCTTAACACCAGTTTGAATCAAGTTTCCGTTGTTCTGAGGCCCACCCCCTCACCCGTACTCACCCTCACGTATTACCCTGTGTCCCGGAGACCCACCGGGCTTCTCGCCTGTCACCGGGTCTGACTGGTCAGCTGTGTTCGTTGCCACCCTCCTGTATAGACTCGCAGATGATATGCTGATCACATAGAACACCGCCATGCACAGAAGGCGAAGCTTTCTTCTGCGGCGCACCTGTCTCCATGGATACCGCAGGTGACGTGTCCTTTTAAAACAATAATCCTTACTTTTGTTTTTATTTTGTCGGTCCGTTTTCTGACGTTCCCCTGTACAGTTGTCATGGTTTTGTATAAGCGATCGGTAATTGGAGTCTTCAGAATGATGTAGATTTCCTTGAGAAGCGTTGTCCCCCTTTGCTTGGCATTCCGCACCACCGTCGTAATTGAAGTTTTCAATGAAACTCAGACTTTCAGCACATCTGTTCGCTTGATGATACGTCAAAGTTGTTTCGTTACATTGTGTACTCTCCAACACTTCAGCTGACTGGGGTTCGTTCTGACCCTGTCTTCCATGTCTGGCTTGTGATCTGGGGGGGCCAGTTTCCTGCTGGAGAAAAAGGAGGGTCTTTGACCCACCTCCTGTAAAACAGTTATTCTCGACGTTTGGATCCTGTTCCATGGAGATCACGTTACAAACATGGGAAGCTCGACTCCCGATGCTATCAATGACGTCATGATGCGTTTTGATATTCATTGAGTACTCATTGTTTGGCGTAATCAAACCAGGATTCGTAGATTTATCGCTGTCTGCGCGGTCATCTGTACGAGTGATTATGTCCAACGTGTTGCGTGCTCACCTCAGAAAATGACCGCTGTGGACGCTCTAGATGTCACGCTTTAAGAAATGCGTTGTTGCATCCGGTTCACAGCTAACACTTGGGGAAATTCTGCGTGGAAATGGCCCGACTTTTGGACCTGATTTTAGACCCTTACCCGTCGTCCTTACACTTCAGTGGGCCGTTTGCGTGATATTGGCTTTCATTCCTCTATCCCTGACGGCTCCTGAAACTATAAAGTAAACTTTTTTATTCAAGTTTAAGGCTGATAAACATTTTAATAGGAACACATCTGTTACGGATGCTTGGATAAGTTTACTCCGATCTTGTGGGCAACAAAAGAATCTTTGGAGGAAACAAAACACAGAGACTAACGAACTATTTTGTCACACAATTTAATTTACAAGCCGCTAAAATTTAACAGAGTAGGGCATCCTCAACTGCTGTCTGTGAACCAGATCTGGCCAGTCAGCGTTGAACGATTAGCTATGGTAATTTCCATAACGCTGCTGCATGTGTAAAAAATGTATGAGGACCACTGCAGTGGAGGTTAGATCAAATTGGTACAGAATGCCACCAAATGGAAATATGAGTCAGGGATTACTTTTAACTAATGTGGCCAATGTATACCCCAAACTTAGTTTACTGTGGCCAATGTGTAACGAAAACTTAGATCGTTTGCATACAATAGTAAATTGTAAAGATATAAAGTAACCAAAAATAAATAAATAAATAAACAAACGTGTCTATTGTCAACAGTTGACTTGCGGCTGTGCTAGAAAGATTGGTTTACTACAGTACCCGATTCTTAGCCAATAACAAACTGAAGTTCCTTAAGTCATAAGTCAGGATTTGTCAGAGACTCCATAAAAAAATGATTGGAGATCTCGTTCCTAGATTGAGTCGGATTGTGCCTTAAATTGAAATGATTTGTATATAACATATTGTTAGTTTTTCAATTTTAATAATAATTATTTCTTATTGGTAAATAAAAAAAATTATTTAAATTTTGACTAAAATATTTTTTTTTCCAATAATTGATCCTTCCATCTTGCTCTAAGCTTTGGCTTGATATTGGCTGTGCTTGACAAATGGTTTAAGTTAGGGAAAGGTATTTTTGTAAGGAAACCATAATGTATGTTAATAACTAAATACAGCAGTATTTTCTAACAATATATATAGGCATATACGTATATTCTATGTTTACCTTTTCATTTTTAATCTAGCATTTCGAATTCTAAACCAAAGAAGACTGGACGCCATATTTGAATCAAGAAACTTGTCAAACGTCCTTGTAAAAGATTTCTATAACCGGAAATACGTCACGAGCGTCAATATGGTGGTGAGACAAGTCCCCCTCATGGGTTTGAGGTTATGAATCGATCATTTTGCTGGATAAAGCATGTTTATATTCGATAAAATAAAATCACGTCCTTTAAAATAAGCTTCTCATTATTTATTTTTATTTTTGTTTAAAATCTATTGCGTACGTGTAAATAATTTTTTGTAACAAAGAGTTGCTTCGGCTTACGGCCTGCTGTTTCCAGTTTCGGTTGGTTACAAAATCATGTTTGTTGTTTCCTAACTCTATTCCATTAAGTTGAGTAGGGCTAATTTAAAAATTAAAAAAACCAGTAACAAGGCAATGATATGTAAAAGTAAAAAGGATACATTTTTTTCTCTCAATAATTTTTTACCTGTCAATTGATTGTATCATCATCCAAGTGATTGCATCATCATCCAACTGATTGTATCATCATCCAAGTGATTGCATCGTCATCCAACTGATTGTATCGTCATCCAATTGATTACGTCGTTATCATATTTATTTATCGTCATCCAATTGATTGTATCGTTATCCTATTGATTGTATCGTCATCCAATTGATTGTATCATCATCCAATTGATTGTATCGCCATCCAACTGATTTTATCGTCATCCGATTAATTGTATCGTCTTCCAAGTGATTGTATCATCATCCTATTGATTTTATCATTATCCAATTGATTGCATCGTCATCAAACTGATTGGATCGTCATCCAATTGATTGTATCATCCAATTGATTGTATCGTCATCCAATTGATTGTATCGTCATCCTATTGATTTTATCGTCATCCAATTAATTGTATCGTACTCCAAGTGGTTTTTTCGTCATCCAATTGATTGTATCATCATCCAATTAATTGTATCGTCATCCAATTGATTGTATCATCATCCAATTAATTGTATCGTCGTCCAAGTGATTGTATCGTCATCCAATTGATAGTATCATCATCCAAGTGATTGTATCGCCATCCAATTGATTGTATCATCATCCAATTGATTGTATCGCCATCCAACTGATTTTATCGTCATCCGATTAATTGTATCGTCGTCCAAGTGATTGTATCATCATCCTATTGATTTTATCATTATCCAATTGATTGTATCGTCATCCAATTGATTGTATCATCATCCAATTGATTGTATCGTCATCCAATTGATTGTATCGTCATCCTATCAATATTTACTTAGCCAAACCACGACAACCACACATGATGTGAAAGCGGATAGTATATGAACCAAAACAATTTGCTCTTTTCTTTATCGTGGACTCTTAATGAGACTGTAGCATTGTTAGTTTTTGTTATCAAATGATGAAATTTTCAACTAAATACTATCCCTTGGTAATACAAGCAATCTGAAACAAAAGATGTGTGTGTGTTTGGGGGGAGGGGGTGGCGGTGTAAAGTAGGTTAGTAATATTTTTATAAAGTCATAAAAAATTGAAAAACTTGCAAAAAACGATGTATAATCTCTTTTTATTTTATTTTCAACCCTGATCTCACATTTACCAAACACTTATTTGTTTCTCATATTTCTCAGTCTGAGTTATTTTTCTTTAAATTTATTTTTAACGCACAAATAAAAAGAAAATAATAATAAAAAATCAACATGACTTTTTAATTTAAAAAAAAACAAACTATAAATATTTTTTCATTCGTTTTTTTTTTAATGTAATTTCAGAACAGGCCTCCATATACATTTTCAAGTAGTTCTTTCTTTTCCTCTGTTCAGCTCAGTCTATTTCTCTGATTCCAAAAANCTTCTTGCAGATTATATATTTAACATACAAATTTCTTTTCTTTTTTTTTTTTTTTTTTTTTTTTTTTTTTTTTTTTATGAAAGATATTTCAATTTTTTTAAACGTTGAAATCCCCAAACCCCAAGATGTTTATAATAAATATTAATAAGTCGGCAGCATGTAGTTAATGCCCTGAACTAACCTGAGCAACATTGTCATATACGAAAAAAAAAAGGAAGACAGTTTTTTTAAAAACATTTCAAAGTATTTACTCATCTTTGGCATGTGACACCAATGGGGCTCAGTATTCAATGAAAGTAAAACTAGTTGTCAGAGTTAAAAAAGTAGATTTACTAATTAATATGAATGGGTGAATTGGTCAGATGATTTGAGATAAAACATATACAATGAAACATCTATAATCACCAAAAATAGAGTTATTAGAGTCCATCATATTCGATACAGTATTTGCATTACAAATTAATATACATTTTGTTCATACATATGTCTGTTTGTATCATGTATTTAATAAAAACAACAAAACAAATAAAACTATTAATGAAAAATTAATTAACTTTAATAATTTTTTGATATATACAAAAAAAAAATGTATTGATTTAAAAAAAAATAATTTAATTTTTTAATTTTTTTTTTTTCCAAAGTATTTTTTTTAAAATCAAATTATTAACACATTGTTTGATATCGCCCATTGCATTATTCATTTCGAGTTAGCCTTCCTTCACACGAGACACGAGACACCGCCTCTTTCTTTTTAAATTCAGACCCCTCTACTTTCTTACCTTCATGTGTATGCATTTTGTTTATTATTTTCATATTAAACGATTTTTTTGTTTCGTGTTAAAAGAAAAAAAAAATGTATGAAATACCGATTAATTTTGTCGGGACAACATTATTATTTTGTGTTAACCGATTTTTTCATGTAAAGTGATTTCGCGTTAAGCTTATTTCACTTTACTTGTCTTCCACATTAAAGTTTATAAATGCTAGATAAAACATAAATAAAATAAAGAGTGCTTTACTTTTGCAAAAGAAGCCTTTAAATCAAAACGTGGACATAACCTAATGTAATCATCTCTTATCTAAAGATGTTTTTTACAATACAAAGAGACACAAAAAAAAAGAAAGAAAGAAAGAAAGAAAGAAAGAAAGAAAGAAAGAAAGAAAGAAAGAAA